GCAGACCTCTCCTGTCTTGCCTTATACTCCACTCAGCAATGTATTTCAATCAATCAACCTGTTCTGCTCCCCACTCTATCTCTGGTGAATCCTCTCGCTCACCCCCCACCCCCCCCACCTCTGGCTTGTACCCCAGTTCTTGTGTGCATAAATAAAAAATCTTTTTTAAAATGATACATATGTACATACAATCATATATGTGTATATCCAGCTATCCAGTTGCTTAGAAAAGGCATTTCTACTTTGGATACCAGAATTGAAACAACAGTTCAGGGGAAGATATTACCTGCTCTTAGCGGATTACATGTCCTATTGTTCATATCAATTAAGATCGTTAATTGAGTGTCTGTAAACAGTGAAAAGAGACATTCTCTTCGTTTTTTTTTCAAGATTTATTTGTTTATGCGTACAAGAGCTGGGGTGCAGGTCAGAGGTTGGAGTGTGGAAGTGTGAGAAGTCACCAGAGACAGAGTGTGGAGCAGACTGGGCAGATGGACTGAAATACCCTGCTGAGGGGAGCAGTGGGCTAGACAGGAGTGGTCTACTCCGCCATGTGGGGCAGCAACCTGGCCAGGGATTGAACTAATGTTGCAGAGCAGTGCTAAGACTTTACCCATTGTGCCACCAGGGAGGCCCCTCTCTTCATATTAATGAACACTGTGTCTTCTTAAAACAGCAGAGAATCTTTAAGAGTCTCTTTATTAACTGGGTGTATAACACTTCCTTTCAGCAACCACATTCACACCAAAAAGAATGGAAATGCCACAGATTACTTTAGTTCAAAAGAGTTCAGAGCACACAAGATTAACTGAGGGAAATAATTTTAAAACTTCAGGTCAGATCTTGAATTGTCTCTTTTGAGCTGGTCTAGTTGGATTTCCTTTGAAGTCAACAAGACTGCCTCCTGGATCTCATCCATGGGATGGAGAGCAAAATGAGAAATAGGCCTTATCACATCAGTCTACAAAAGAGTTTGTAAGTGGCAGGCCCTAGTAATAACATTTGGAGGAGACAAATATTTACACATTTTTCAAATGTTAAATAAGTGATTATGTGTGTTTTTGAAAAACAAGTTAGTCTGGATAAGGATTGGTCAGTGACCTTGTTGAAGATCTTTCATATTAATTATTTCATACAAAATATAAGAAATGAACATAAAGTGTCACTTGCAGCTAGCAAAATGGACATTCAGCTTATATTTATATTAAACTATCAATAATTTATCAACTATCAAAAATACCAATTTCCCCCCTAAGTAATTAAAGAATAAATTCAAAGCTAGAAAACTCAGGACAACAGCAAATACCATCAATGAATAAATGATTGTGGGAAACTTTAAATCTGAGAATGTGAATATCTGATGACATGAAAGATAAGAGAAATGTAAATAAATTACCTAGTGAGAATGAGGATTAGAGCTAAAGTCAAGCATAGAAGCATAAATACTTAGGGAAAATTCTAAAATCTGTTCTAAGAGCCCACATGATATACTTATAAAATCACTGGTAACCTATGTGTTGAGTATTGAAAATATCCCCCAAATGAAAATGAAAGAAAAAAAGCACAGGGAAGAACTTTTTGAAGTATGATATAAACAAATGTTATATGATCCAACTGAGAAATTTAACTATAAAAAATAGTTAAATTTTTTTCTGCATAACAATGTGTACCAAAAGTAAAGAGGCAAATGATAAAATTAGAAAATTATTTGTAATTCCAGTTACAGAAGATCATAAAGTTCTACTAGTTACATATAATTCAATGATGCAAAAATAAATGACCAGCACACAACAGAAAAATATGATAAACAATATTCCTCAGAGTTCATGAAAATGAAACATAGATGATTTGGATGTATTAAAGACACATTATTTCATCTAAGTGAAAAGAAATAAAATTAAGCCTTTACCCAGATACTACTTTTTGTCAAGAAGTATCAAACATCAAGACCTGTTGGCCAGTATAAGTGAGAAAGTCATGTCCATATATTGCAACGTGATAGGAAATTTTGTGAACATACACATACATGTACAGCCATCTGTTTGATCCATTTTTCTACTTTTAGGAATTTATAATGCAAAGGCAAAATGAGCCATGAAAAAGTTAATTGAAATATTGCTTCTAGCAGAGAAAGAATACAAATAATCTATCAGCAGGGCACTGGCTAAATCCAGCCCTGCAATGTAATGACATATGATGGTACTGAAAGACAGGAAAAGTCCTTATGATCTGACACTGAACGAGTGCTAAGATCATAACAAAATGGAGGTGCAGAGGAGAGAATAAGCATTTAACCTGTTGCATAAAAGACTGTATTTGTTTGTATATGCACACATCTTTGTCTGTACATACACACACATATATATGTACATACAAAAATTTTTTAATGAGCACAGTCTCTCTGAAAGCATGCTCAAAACCTGAAAGTTACACACATAGGACTTTTTCTGAAAAAGAGAAATGGCTGGTTGGTGAGGCACCTCTCCCTACATGCCCCTTCATAAAGATTGAATTTGAACTGTATGGATGAATTCTGAGTCAAAAACGTAAAGCACAAAAGTTGTCTCCTCATTTATAACATCATCCCCATCTCTGCCTCAGTTAACATTCTCTAATCACCGGTGAGTGTGTGAAGTCAATCTCATCAGTATGCTTCTCTGTAAACAGACACCAGGCAAAGGTCTATTTACAAAGCTAGCTTAATGAAATTCCATTTAAATGCAGAAGGAAAAGTCCACTGAGTCTTCAAAATGGAGAAACTGAACTTGGAGGCTCAACAACAACACATTCAGAGTTTAGAAATGAAAGGAAGTAGGATATGGGATTAAAGTTAATGATAGTTTAGGATCTGCTAGCATTGTATTTTTTAGTAGCAAGAACATTCCTGAGTTCTTGAAATCAAGAAAAATATTCAGTGAATGGCAAAGAAGTCTGTGTTATCAGTAAACTTGCTCCAAAGAGTTTAAATGTGAGCATCACATTCAGCATCCCAAGAACTGTGATTTTTGGGGTTCAGTAGTACCCTTTAAAAAGCAGAGATAGAGAAAGCACAAGCAGGAAATAGGAAAATTTTCTCGCAGAGTCCATTTTTGTTTCATTAAACTCATTAACCAATGTTTAATAGAAGAGGTACTGTTAACATTCTTTTCATGAGATGGCTCTAGGGATTCTGTAAATTGAAAAGCATCGCTGGTTAAAAAAGTGCCAGATGTGCCAAATGATTAAAATTATGTAAAGTGATTTTGAAGACAAGTTGAAATGGTCTGTAAATTTAACTAAGGATGGGAGTGGCTAACTCAAATCTCTTTACACAGAAAACCTATCACTGATCTTTTGCCTTCACACTGTTTAGACCCCATAGCAAAAATCTTGGTAAAAATAGAAAACTGTAGACCAGAACATGGTAGAGGTCAAGAGACCTTGGTCTAATTTATTAAAAAATAACCACCCAAGTGTCTAATGGTAGAGTTAAATCTACTTGGTTTTGTGCTTATTTTGACCTTTAAATTTTTAAAAAGATACTGAAAAACACTGATTTTAAATGGGTCTCCATGCTGAACAGGAAAGCAAGGGGTTTATTTGGAGATGATTTTATCCTTTCATTTACTTAACACCTTTAGACATGCAATAAATCGGGTGTGTGCTCATGAGTGTATAGGTGAACTGACATTAATGATGGTGGCAAGGATATTCACTGGAACATCAAGTCATTGTGTCACGCTGGCCTACTCTTAAGTTGAAATGTTTCTAACCCAGTCCAAACTGTGTGATAAAAATCAAAGACTCTGAAAGCTGAAACAGTTCAGTGTTTGTCAACTCTGTTTGGGTGCTGTGGGCCCGTTTCAGGGGCTGAATTGTCTTATCTAGGAAATGGAATCAGTGATCTCAACTCAGATTTATTTGGGTGTTCTCAGACATATCTAGAGGGTATAACCTGAAATTCTGAGCACATAAATATTGTTATGAAATAGTGATGCCCATAAGAAGTTCTGGATAGGCAATGATGGAACAGTTAAAAACCATGACCACTCAGTGTTCTTTCTGTGGCCCTGTGATTGTGTCAAGTCTTCAAAATTCGTAAACACCTTCTGAAGCCCAAGACATCGAGAAGAAAGTTTAAATGTACAAACGCTAGCATAGTATGGTGGTAGCTGTAGTTGTACCAACAGAGACATTTGGACTTCTGGGATTAGCACCGTCATTTCTTGTCTTTTCCTTAAGGAGCAAACACATTCATTCCTCCAGTAATGAATGCATTGCAGAAGATTTCACCAGAATGGAACCAGAAAGCAGCAAGTGTATTTAATTTAACATTTAGTCAAACAATGCTTACTCAGAAACAAAGCACCTAAAAGTTTTATTTATAGGGGGAAGGAGGCAGGAGGATTATGAATGAGACAGACTTCAGTGGCGAGTGACTATTCTTTAAAAAGCAAGTCCCATTTTTTGAATATTGGAGGGGAATGTTGCTGTGTTTTTAAATAAGTGTTCCTGAAGGAGAAACAATTTGGTGAAGAAAGAACACAGTGAGGATAAGCAGAAACTATTGGAAACACTTTCATTCCTTAAACTGATAACCGATCTTCCAGCGAAACGAAGCCAAGACTTGAAAAGTGGCAGAGGTGTGTCGTCTTTCGAGACGCGGCTTAAGTTAAAACTCCGCTTGTCAAAAGCAGCAGTCCAGGCTGGGAACCCAGGAGCGAAAGTCTTGGAGAAGCCAACAGTCAGATTCTCCCGCAGGAAGACGGGTTGAGGTTGAAACTGACCCGAGAGACCCCAAGAGGACTCCTTGGGGGCGAAGACAGCCGGGCTCCGCGGGCCAGCCGGGTCAGGGGGCACCCTCACCCCAAGTCCATGACGGGTTAGCTACTCACTCCCGGAAAGCCCGGAGGGGATTCGCCAGGGGTTCAGCCGGTGGAGGCTGTCAGCGCGCTTTAGGACCTCAGGGAAACCCGAGACTTTCTGGCTTTAGGACCCAGGAACTCCAGGGCAGCCTGGGTTTAGATACCTTGGATCATAGCACCACCTACTTATAGAAGCATCCCGAGCCTCAACCCACTGCATCTCCTCGGAAAGTGCGTTAGCCACATCCCTCCGGTCTCTCGGGAGCCCTCGGTCTCTTTCCGCCAGTGAAGGGCGCAGTCCTAGCAGTGAAGTGACTGGAGAGAGCCCGGGAAGCGGCACACTTGGATAGGGACCCAGAGAGGGAGCGCGGGCGTGCCCCTCGCCGGAGGATCGCACTGACGGGCGGGGACTCAGCATCCTCGCGGCTGCGGACGCGCCCGCTCTCCGCGCCTCTGCCAGGCGCTGCTAGCCCGAGCACCTCCGCGCACCCCAGCCCGACGGCGGCGGCCAGAAGCCGGGAGCTGCCAGGCGCTGCAGGCGGGTTTCAGCAAACTTTTCCCCAGCCCACGTGCTAGCGAGGCGGCTCGTCCCCTCCAGCCGGGATGGAACGCCGCGCCTAGGCACGCCGAGCCGGGCACGGTAGGCGACCGAGCGGGCTTCCGCGCCAAGGTACCTCACCGCAGGACCCAGAGGGCTACAGGGCGCCCCTAGGACCTCGCGCGCTCAGAGCCTGCGGAGCGCTTTCCTTTCCCCGGAGCGTCTGCGGCGCAGCGCCCTTTCCCCCGGGTGGGAGCTGGAGCTCCGCAGAGGTTGCTAATTCACTGATTGTGGCCACCTTGCTCGCAAGTCGCCGGCAGCTGCGCGCTCAGGCTTAGGCTGCGCCCTGCGCGTGCCAGGCAGAGGTTCCCTTCCCCCGCCCGCCCCTTCTTAAATCGGGACGCTCGAGGGGCAGCTGCTCCGCCGGGGCTTTTCCACCCACCACCGGTTTCTCGTGTTGTCTCTCAGGTTCCAGTACGCGAGATGGTGCTGGCGCGGAACTGACAGGCGAGGCCCTGGGGCTAGCGGCTACTCGGCGTCTTTCCCGGCTGCGCGGTCCGCGCCGCCTGCTCGCAGGAGCCCTTCAGCTCCCCGACTTTGAGAGGCGTCTTTCCCAGCCCAACCGCCCAGATGCAGTTTCGCCTCTTCTCCTTTGCGCTCATCATCCTGAACTGTATGGATTACAGCCACTGCCAAGGCAACCGCTGGAAACGCAGTAAGCGAGGTGGGTCGCATCGGCTGGAGGTGCGTGGGGTCAGGGTGGGGGGCGGGTCGCGGCACTGCTCTGGCAAGGGGGCTCAGATGGGCAGGACCTTGCCCTACACCCCAGCGCTTGCGCCCCACGGATCCCACTTTCCGCGCCTCAGAACGCTGCAGAGCACAGTCTTTCGACCGTCAAAAAGCGCGGCCAACGGGAGCGAGGCGCGCAGGGAGGGGAGCGCGCCCGGAGTCCGGTGGCGCTCGGGGTTAAGCTTGCGGTCCCTGCAGTCATTAGCACTTCCCACTCCTGAACTATTTTTTTCTCGTTTACTGTTGCTTTTCTTATCTGGCATCCATTTGTTGTTGGTGCTCTCCTGTCTCTTTGTCTTTCTTTTTTAGTTCTCAATCATCTCTCCTGCAGCTCATCTGTCTTTTCCACCCAAGTGCGCCCCAAATTCTTAGTGCATGGCCTAGCACTGTGCACCTCAGAGGTGTGTGTGTGTGTGTGTGTGTGTGTGTGTGTG